TAGTCCTGACTGAACAGTTGCATATTGACCCAAGAAATAGTTTGGATCACTACTCAGAATGTCCAGGTTTGCACGTCACACTAAACCACCCTGCAAATAACTCACGGTTGGTTAGTTATTTTGAGAATGACTCATAGTTCGCCCAACAGACAACAGGATTTGCTGAAGCTTGCTCTTCCCCTCCCTTAGACCTCCATTTGGCTCCATTATGCATCCCAAGGAATTCTGTGACAAAACCCATCTCCTTGTCGCAGTCCTTTCCTCACTCCAAGCAGTACATCTTTTTTCCTCCAGCTTTTATTTCCTTAATTTCAGTGCCTCAAAATACTGTATACAAATCAGGGCAAACAATTTTTATTATTTTCAGTTTTTTGCAAGAAGGTGGGTGTAGCCTTCTCTGACATCCTACAATGTGTTGCTGTTAGATATACCACTAATTTCCCTTTGTTATTTAGGAAGATGTGCAGTTTCCTAGAAAAGTTATCATTTCCAAGGAGATTTTCTATATTGATTATTTCACTCCCAGGGTCAGGTACAATATGGACAATGATCTTTTTTTGCTGAAATGATAATGCAAGTAGGGATACATTTTCATGTCATAACATGCTTACTAAAGCATTTGCATTTGTCCTGAAGCTTTACTTGATGTACAAATGCACTCATGGCATCTTATAAAGTTAGCTGTGTTATTCAATGTTTGATTTAGATGTTAATTTTCCATAAGTGCTGTGAAAATAGATTTAATAAAGTCCTCTAATTCAGAAGATAGATTCCAGAGTTTTTGGATTAGGAACAGAGGGACAGTTAGACACAGAAGTATTCTATCATTCTCCAGACATCCTACAATGGTGATCTTGCAATGGGAAATGAAATCAAGGAGGCCTCCAACAAAAGCAGTACTGTAATAATGGGGTATTTCAAGTATCCACACATTGACTGGATCCATGCATGTTCCACTTCTGTCAGAGAGGTTAATTTTTTGATGTCCTAAATGATGGTGCCATAGAACAGATGGTTTTGGAACCAAATAGAGGGGAGGCAATCCTGGATTTAGTCCTAGGTAATGTGACCCAGGACAGAGTACAGAACGTAAATGAGCCAATAGCAGACAGTGACCATGGTGGTATCAGATTTCATGTACAGCTAGGTGGAAGACTGCTAAAGAGGTCAAACACAGTTGCATTTGACTTCAAAATAGGAAACTTCTAAAAAATGAGGGAACTGGTAAAGAATGTGAAGAGGGGAATCAAGAAGTTTAAATCACTTCAAACTGCTTGGAGAGTATTCTAAAGTACTACCAGAGACACAGATAAAATGCATACCGCAAGAGAGGAAAGGTAGCACAAAGTCTAGGAAATCACCAGCATGCTAAACACATAGAGTCAAGGAAGGTATTAGGGAGAGTAAAACTTTCTTCAAAAAATGAAACTCTTGCTGAAACCAGAACAGAAGAGACCACAAGCTTGCACAAGGGAGATGCAATCAGTCCATCAAAGAAGCAAGGAAACAGTTCGAGGAGAACTTCCCTAACAACATCAAGGCTAACAATAAAGAATTATTTAGATATAGCAAAAGAATGAAAGCGGCCAAGGAAGCAGTTGGGCCATGGGCGATATTGGAGTTAAAGGAGCACTAGGGAGGAATGAGGAGATTGCTGAGAAGCCGAATGATTTTTTTATTAGTCTTCACAGCAGAGGATGCAGAGCAGATATCTGTTCCTGAGTGTATGTATTCTGAGGAATTAAGGCAGATAGCAGTGACAAAAGATAAAATTCTCAACCTTACTGACAGACTAAAGTCAGCAAGTCCAGATGGTATCCATCCTAGAGTTCTCAAAGAATTCAAACATACAATAGCTGAAATTCTTACAAAAATATTTAATATGTCCCCTAAAATCAGCCCTTGTACTAGAGGAGTGGAGAACAGCCAATGTAACAACAATTTTAAAAAAGGGATCTAGGAGAGAATCTGTGAAATTACAGGCCAGTTAGCTCAACATCTGTTCTGGGTAAACTGCTTGAAAGACTGGGCTATGTTGACACAAAGATCACCGGGTCGCAGTCTTCTTCCTGATGTTGTAATCGTAAAGTGAACTGGCTTTTGAGACTTCAGAGGGTAGGAGAAGGGATAATCCTGGAACTGACAAAATACAAGAAAAATCAGGTGCCAGCCTTGTGGTTGAGAACTATCAGAATTATTGCTTCAAGGACATTGCAGATAACAGTTATGACTAGCTAAGGCTTTCTGTTACAGTGAATTAATAAAATTAACATTTAAATTAATTAAATAAAATTATGTTATTATTTATTTGCAACATTTATATACCACTGTGCAGCTAAACAGATTCCAGAACAGTGAACAATAAAAAGATACAAGTAAAGAATAGAACAATATGTTTAAAATGGCCTTGCAATAAAACCATGGCTGGTCAGTCAAGGAAGGCTTTCCTGAAAGACTGATGTTTTCAGGAGGTCCTGAAGCAGGAAGTTCCACAGATATTGAGCTGCTACACTTACGGCTCTTTTCTGGGTGGAATGTGGTCAGGTTGTAGGTCCATGTGGAACCACCCGCCTGGCTATACCATGCGGAACCATGTAGATCATGCCATATAATGACCTTGTGACCAGGCAGGTTGGTAAAGGGGAAAGTGCTTTCTAGTATCCTGGTTCCCATTTGTTTAGAACTTTATACATTAGTGCCAAAACTTTAAACCTGGCTTGGTAGTGATCAAGCCCTCAGTGCAGTTCGCTCAGAAAAGGGGCAGCTGTACAAGCTGAGCCTTATGCGCAGCCCCACAGTTGGCACTAATCTAGTCTAGGGGTTACCTGAGTCTGTACTACTGTGGCCAAGTTATCTTTCTCTAAGAGAAGTCATAGCTAGCAAACTCGTAAGCGATGGTAAAAGGCATTCCAAGTTATTATGGTCAGTGGGACTCCAGCAACAGTGATAGATCTAGCAGTAACGCTAGGCTATAGACCTAATCTTTCAAAGGGAGTGCAATCCAGAAAAGGCAATGGGTCTACCTACAAGCTCAGAGAGCCTTCTCCCACAGAGCTTTAGTATTTCCAGGATGCAGTTTAGTGGACCTCCCCCATCCCACCAATTCTAATCTATTTTATTTAATTTTAGCAATTGCCTCATGACTTTACATTAACGCAAATAAACCCCATATACAAATATGCAACTTTATATCACCATTTTGGTGATCCGTTTTTTGCTCCGGAGGCCCTGTCTCAGCAGCCACACTGTCCTGTGGGAAACGCAATGGCCGGGCAAAGCATGAAACGACGGGGTGGGAGGACGGCTCCTCTGCAATTTCCAGTGGCTCCAGCAAGCAGCAGCACCGCCTAAGAGTAAACACTCCCCCTTCCTGATCCAAAAACAACCGGGGAGAGAGGAAAACTAGCTCAGCACGCTCGCTCCCACAGCGTCCCACTGTTTTCAGGTCCCAAACAACAGCAGCAGTCATTAAAACACGCACACACGCCCCCTCCCACATGCCACGCGACCAGAGAGCTTTTAATGCAATCATTTAATATATTCCCCGGTCGCTGCTCCCGCTGCTCCTTCTGCGCACGGAGCGGCCCAGAGGACGGGGAGAGGTGTCCCAGCAGCTGCTCTTCCAAACGCGAGCATTGGCTCGACATGACTGTATTTAATGTGCTGCTTATTGCCTCGCCACTGAATAGCACTCTCCCTCCCCCTCCCCTCCCCCTCCCTCCGGCTCCTCCATCTTCCTCACTCCCGCTTTAGGGGGCGATTAGCCGCCTCAGTGTGCCTCTCTGCGCCGGAGAAGGGAAAAAAGGCGGGAGATGCCGCCCGCCACAAAGCAATCCGAAATATTCCGCGCCTCACGGCTTGGCTACTGGTCCCCTGGCAGGGCGAATACTTGTGGCGATTTTTCCTGTGCCGTTTTGTTCGGTCGTGCCTCGAGGGAAGGAGGAACCAGATACCAGAATATATGCAATAAATAACGAAACATGGGGAACGAAGGAGACAGAGGAACAGGCGAGAGCACGACCTGGTGCGCGCAATCCTACACGTTACACGCCACTATACATATTCCAGGTGTGTCTGGCATGAAACTGGGGGACCTCAGTGGCACCTATTATGCAATATTCGCCTTGCATACGAATAATTTGGGAAACGCGTTTAGTCTGACTTCACTTCGTTAAGCATCTCTGCGCAGATTAGAGGTTTAAAAATAGCTATTCGGTTTCTGCGTTTTTAAATGGGATGCAAACACTCCTTGAGATTAGAAGCTGAGGGATGTTTAGAGCGATAAGTATCATTCTCTGCTCTGAAGGATCTTTCCTGAGACCCACTAGCAGTAACAGAAACCCCGCGTATGTGTGGAGTTGTGAGACATTTATATATGCATATTTAGTATTTCGTCACCTTTTCTGTGAGTTCTTTAAAAGCTTCGGACATGCTCTCGCTTACTTTCACTCGGAGCGAGCGAGAGATCTTATTACATGCTCAGGTTGATGTCTTGATAATATTCCTTCTCAAAGATGTTGTATTACACTATGCTTATCTGCTTGTGCTGTGCTGACAACCCAGGTGCATTTACGCCCTGCACTCATAGATGGCTATATAATAAATCCCTAGCAAGGGATGGGCAGCTTACATGGCAGTGTCCCCTGCCACAGGCGTCTTCATCTTCCTCGCTTTCCAGCCATGGTGGGCTGAGGCGGGGACGCCGAGGGGTGCGTCCCTGCGTGTGCCGGGGCAGCGGGAGGTGGTGGCGACGGCGGGGCTGGCTGAGCGTGTCCCAGCGGGGAGGGGATGTGTGTGCAGTTGCGTGCGGTACTTCCTGTGGTATATTTATGACCAGGGCTTCGATTTCCGGTGGCTGATACGCGCGCTCTCCCGCTCTGTGTCTCCCTCTTTCTGGCAGAGCGTTTAATAATACCACGGAGGGAGCGGGGGAGCTCTCGGTAGACACAGGCACACGCACGGAGCGGGGGAAGGCGGAGGAAGGCAGAGAGCGGTGCCAGTGGACGGGGATGAAAGGCAACTCTCCCCTCCACCCGCCTCCCGCACACGCCTCAGACACAACACGCTCCCCTCCTAGCCTAAACAAGCGCTGATAGAACCTGGCCATCCGATATCACCAATAGACCACGGTCTCCACTCCCCCGTTACCCCACCCCCAGCACATAACACACATCACATTCCTATGGACAGGCACGTGCAGGTAGGTGGCGACCAGAGCTGTGGGGTGGCTGGCGGGGTGGGAAGCCGAAGCGAAATGGCGTGGACGGGAGGCTGCGTAAGGGGGCGTCCATATGCTCTGTGAGCGCTCTCGCTCGCTCTGAGCGTGTTGTGAAAGGGGTGGCAGCTGATTCGCCCTTACGGCACCCGAGTGTGTCTACAATAAAGTCTTCCTCTGTTTTTGTGCGTCTGGGGCGGGAGGGCAACTCTCATAAAGCCCTTCCGTGCAGAGATACCCGCCTGTCCTCGTCTTTTGGAGAAGTGCAAGGGAGATAGAGCAGTTATTGAATGGAAGGAGGAAACATAGGTGAGAAGCACCGATATCCTCTCTGTCTTGGCATCTCGTTCAGGGCTGGCGGCGCCCAGCCTTAGCCGGGCACCCCACACTTGACGATAGGGTCGCTCATGCTTTCATTGATCAGAGTTTCGTGTACGTGTGTAAGTTTATTAGAGCATGAAAGGGATGCGCTGCAGTTTTCTTCCTCCTCTGGCGGGGTTGAAGGCAGCGGGAGAATGAGAGGCATGCTTGGGGATGTGGTAGGTTTGAAGATGTGACCCGAATGATGCCTATTTGCAGGAGTTACACTGCTGAGTGTAGAGGGGGCGGGGGAGAGGCCAGGCAGGTATATTTGGGGACGTGAAGGAATTACATCTTTGGGGTCGTGTTGTGATGATGCTGGTGAATGGAGAGGACTGTGCATGGTTGAGGGAGCGTGATTCCATCGTGTGGGTAAGTGAATCGTGGGGTGGGGATGCATAGGGACAAGGTGCACCTCTAACACTGTGTGTGTGTGTGTGTGAGAGAGAGAGAGAGAGAGAGAGAGAGAGGCTGTTGGCTATGTGTCTTTGCTGTGTAGAGACATTGTGAAGAAGTGCGGGGGGAAATGGGTGATTACGTAGCGGGACAGGTGTTATAAAGTGTTCCTTTTGAGGCTAAGAGACCGAACCGAAACAGGTTCACTCAGAAGTACGTCCTGGTCGGTAACGCTCCTATACGTGGAGACAAACGTTGCAGCTTCAATGGGCGTTTCTTGGCTCGGGACAGGTGCGATAAGAAGGAGAAGTATTCGCTTGAAATGTGTGCTGTTGTTGCGGGACAGAGTGGAGACACACACGGGAAAAGCTCCTTTCATATGAATGCATTCTTGCACGTGAGATCAGGTATCCTAAGTCTTCGAATTTCGCCCTGCGATAATCAGCTTCTCTTTACTTTGACCTAAAAAAGATGAAAAGGAGGGGAAGCAGAAGGGCGGCAGGTTGATATGGAGAAGCATTCTTCTGCTTTGGCTTTGTTGAGTGTGGAGTCAGGACAGAAAAGAGCCTAGACAGATTCTGTTAGCTGTTTTGAAGTTCTCTCTCCAGAGCTGTTCTTTCCTTTTTGGGCTAGAGTAGACACAGAGGGACCTGAGCAGGGGGGCTTTAAAGAACCGGATCCATCCCTTGTGCCTACTCTAGGTAAAAATGGAAGAGGCATAGTTGCAAGATCTGTATTTTAAGCAATACCAGTTTTGACCCCATCATACATGCATATGTTCCTCTTGGCAGCTTAGCTACCCTTGTTTGTTGTTTCTAAGAAAACAGAAAAGAAAAATAAGGATGAAGAGGAAGGGAGCATTTGTGATCTCAGACACGGAGCTGTTTTGTAGCAAATACATTCATCACAGTCCTTCAAGAAATTGGATAACACACTTAGTTAGGAGTAAGCGCCACTGAATCCGGTGGAGTTCACTGGTATATAGACATGTATAGGACTGTGCTTTGATTGTTAAAAGGAGGCCAAAGACAAAGTTGAAGGGGAAGAGCCTTCCTTGTTTCTTCTTGGCATTCTTCTTAGAAAGTTAAATTTTCACTGTTGCCTTTCCTGGAGTGGAAGGAAAAAGTAGAGAGGAATACTGTTTGTATATCCCAGCTTCCAACAGTTCTAAATGCCAACTAAAGTTGAGATCCAAATGAAATAAGTACACTGAAGCCTTGGTAGCAGAACCTTGTCTTCAAAAGAAGGATTGTTTATTCCAAAATGTTTGCTGTCATTTTCACACTCCCCTTATAGACCAATGCCTTAAAAGACTGACAGCAAACACTGTGATTTGAACAATAATAGTTGCTAAGTCTGTAGGTTCCCACAACTTTTACTAAGGCAGCACATCAGCAGAGTTTCATATTTGTTCAGGATCTATGAATTTGAGCCACAGTCACTAACTCTGAAGTCATTTCACTTTTGCTTATATTGCCTTTAGTCGCCACACATCTCTAATACAAAATCTGGGATTCTTAATTATCTGCAAAGAATCTCTGTCTTAAAAGCTAGTTCAAGCTTTTACACATGATGGATGACTAGATGTTCAAATGAATCTTGAAGTTGTTATTATTAATATTATACTATGGTAATAAAAATGCAGACATGTGGGATACTGTCCTGTGTCATTCAGGAACAGAATTGCTTAAAAACCTCCATATATGGAGAAAATGCTGAACAATAATAATTGCATGGCATTTAGCTGTTCAGTAATTAAGTGTTCTTAAAAGCACAATCCTATAAATCTCTACTGAAAAATAAGCACTATTGAATTCAGTGGGGCTACTCCCCAGGTAAGTGTAACTTAAGTGAACTATTGGGAAAAGATCCTTTAAAAATAACAACTTCTAGACTCTTTCAGAAAAAAAATGAGTTTTTAAAAAGCTCTCATTCTGTAAGTTCAGCATGGCAGCAAACTTTTTTTAGAAGAAAAAATGACTCTTATTTACAGCTTGGCACTGGTTCTTCTGATTCTCTAGGATTAAATCTAGGATCCTATTTAATGTGTTTGTTTATAGGCTTTAAGTATACAGTATTTTCAGTATTGTGTTAAATCCCTAGGCTCTTTGAAGTCTAACATGAAAGTGAAATAGCTTACTGAATTGACTGGGTAACACTCATGCTTAGACCCTACTTAAAACAGAGACTAAAGACTTAGAAAAATGGGCTGGCAATATGACTGACAGTATGCAAATCTCACTTATGCTGTCTTGGTTGCTCTTGGATATTTTTATGTCCTGTGGATTGATTCTTAAGGTACTTCAAGGAAACCAGTCCCATCCAAACAAGGTTGCACAGGCTTTCCTTACTATTTAAGACACAGCAGCTGAAATGTCTGATGTAAATCATGATGAGATACATATATGATTATATAGTAAAGTTGATAGAGAGCCGTGTGGCCAGAAGGTTGAATGAGAGTGATCTATGTTCAACTCCACACAAAGTTCACTGGATACCTTGGCCATCACTTTCTTTTAGCCTAATCAACTTCACAGGGCTGTTGTGAGTATAAAATGAAGGACATATATGCTTCTCTGAACTCCTTGGAGGCAGGGCAGGATAAGAATAAAATTAATGAACAGTTATAATAGAAATACGTTCCTTCTGTCCACTTTCTTCATTATGTATATATCTGAAGGTATAAGATTGAATATGTCTTGTACCTGAGTTCATATTAGATTATATAAACTCTGAGCAGCTCTTCTGGTGTTGGTAACAGCTGAGTGTGACGATACTTGTAAGCTATGGAGGTCTGCTCCAACAATAATAATTTAACACACTGGTAAACTACATGTTGACACCTACATTATACAATGTGATCAAAATGTCAACACACCTATTTCCTGGAATAAATAGCTGTTGAGTGTGTAAGATGATATAAGATCAAGCAGCTAGTTCAAAGATATACAGAGTTTTGAATTTCATCTAATACTTAGGCAAAATGAACATTCAGAGCATAAAAAATGGACTTCTCTTGCATGTCCATTTTTAGTTTCAGCCTCTGTTTCTAAATGCCAGCATGGCTGAAAAGTAGATTAATTCTTGTTTACTGGCAAATTGCTTTTGCTGGTTTTAACAAAATTTAAACATGGGAAGCTCGAGGAAAACAATGCAATATATATTCTTACCTATGTTTATCACAGTTTGGAACAGACATACATTATTTTAACCAGTATCCATTTTTTTTGGGCAAAATGTACATCTTTGCTAGCAAAAATGTTTGTGTCACTTTTCTAACATGGTATATTTGACACTGGTTTTAAATATAATATTAGATGTGGTGGAGAGAATCTTTATCTTTGCTAGCATTTAATATGTGGTTGTGATTAAAAGTACATTATAAGGTTTGCTTTCAGATTCCTCTTGATGTTCCTTTAATTGGATTCTTCAAAGGAGCAATGCAATACATTTTAATTGAGCGAAATGCTGAAAAGTTGTAGTAATGTGATGTCATGGTATATCCTTTTTCATTTCAAAGTATAGGTGCCTATGATGAATCTAAAATAGGATGTGGTTTTTAAGGGGTTTTTTTATATATCACATAGCAAAATACCTTGATTTGTCACAAGACTGTACTTAACCAGGAACTATAATCGGTCCTAGCTCCCTTCATAACAACTATAACTATACAATACATGTGTTTGCAAACATTCATTTGTCACATTTCCATTATAAAAATGCTACATTTCTATTTAGATCCTGAAAATATCCTAAGTGCATACTGTAAAAGTGTAATGTATGAATTATCTGTAGCAGTCAGATGATTCACACTTTGGGCACTAATGTCGTTGATATTTAGGCAGTCCACTGCAGCAGAGTAAATTGTGTGGCCCAATGTTCAAAACAATGGCTCTGCATACACATTATATATTTCATAGTCCTTTTAGTGTATGTTTAGATGTTACTTAGCTAGCCAATACCACCAATATTGGCGGAAAGAGACTCCTAGGTCCTCAGATCAACACTGACATTGCACAGGTCCATCTCACAACCTGTCTAAAATCCTCTGCCCTAAAGAAATGTATAGTGCTATACCATCATGAGTGAAATTGGTGGGAGAAAGGGATGCAAACAAGGAGGCACCTCTGATTGCACTGGATCCACTGCTGTTGTTAAAATATCCACACTTAAAGTACTTTAAGATGGAAGGAGAGCTGTGGATTCACTGTAGCATCCTTCCATCCAAT